TCGCCTCTGTGTGAACTCTTTTAAACAATACAGACCCAATTCCGGCCAGTGACTTTTTCTTGGTCCATCTTCTCTACACACATATTGAACAAAACATGCATTCCCTTTTGTTTACAAAGTCCAAGTCCATAAAATAGTACCAAAATGGTACTAAAATCATCCAATTTATGACCAATATTCCTTTCATTCTCGTAATTTCAAAGCGAAAGCTGCATTCTAGGAGACCTTTTCATCATGTGGCTTTTGGCTTTGCAGAGGAGAGGCCCATCCTGAAAGCTTGTGAGCAATGTTTGATCATCATGCTCTTCACAGCTTTCACCAGAGCAACTACTTGGAAAAGATAGAGCTAATTAAGCCCTCCCAAATAGAGCCAAATACCCATTGTATTTTGATTGCTTCTTCCTCTCTATCTTCTTATTTCCTAAAATGTCCTCCAAGGTCCAAACTTTTGCAAGCTAGACCAGTTGATATTTAATATCATCCTCTGGTATTATAAAACTGAAAATTGGCATTTAGGTAATAGTGTATTAAGTGATTGAGCAGTTGTTGGCTTTGATTAATTCCTCTTTCTTGTTAAGCAAGTATACTACTGAAAACTGAATGTTCATAAATAATTCATCATACCATATTCTTGTATGACCTTTCAAGCTGTTAATATGCTATTAAAATTTCATAGATTGACCAAAGGAAAAAATAAAAAAATGGATTTTTTTTTTTTATAATTCATGTTTCTATGTGCTACAAAGTTGGAAAGTGGAATTTGGATTTGAAAAATGCAACTATTGTACCCAATAGAATTCCAACACTATCCCCATTTATTTCATTGCTGGATCTGCTTTCTTTTTGTTGGGCTGATAGTGTGTTCATGATTTATTGGGTGGCTGCAAAAATTTTCTGAAATGCTGATCACAGCTGAAGAAAATTCTTGTATTTAAACCTGCTTTTTGACTTGCTTAACGAAATTTCCTCTTGCAAGCTTTGTGGGGTGTTTGTAATTAAATCATGCTAATGAAAATTGGAATTCTTTTCGTAAAATAACAACTGAGTTATGAGGCATAAAATACTATTTCCAGTTTGAAAACAGAAAAATTAATTTAAGGTCTGAACAGTTTTCTGCAATACTGTAGATTACAACTATACAACTTAATTGGGTCACTTCATGGGTTTTCTTACCTAACCCTTAAATCTTTCTTATTTATTCTAAAAAGCAATCAAAAGTCAGGATTCTTTCTTCTCACATGGAAGAGGACTATTGAGCCACATGAAAAGAGGGTTAAAATAAAAATTTACATGAACTCATGACAGAGAGAATTTTGCTTTTTTATGGTGGAGGGAATGTGACTGAGGAGATCATTTTAATACTCTGTCAACTCAAACGATGTGGTTTCTAGGAAAATCAACTCCAAGCTTGTGGCGAAGTTGTGGGCTTTTGGGCAATAAGCCCATAAAGCAATGATTCTTCATGTCTGAACAGAAACTTATATCTCCCACATGATTTATGGCTTCACCAGAATTTCTGTTCAAGAGCTTACCAACAAAAAATATTTCAGATGGTTGAAGATGTGAAGAAAAAGTCATAAGAAAAAAGGTGGATCAATTGATTCAATTCTCCACCAATGGATTGCAATTTTCAAATTTGGTGGTTAGGGTTTTTGAGACAATGAATTCACATGCACCCAACTGTTCTTGATCACTTTCCTTTTGTGTTCTTGCACGTGTCAAACACATGCGAGTAAGCATTCCCAAAGTACAAGTGAGAAAAGATAAAATAGAATTGGGGTTACCACATTACTGTAGCCCTGTGTCAAGAATGGGACCCATTTGTTAGAGTGATTTCAGTTGAAATTGATGAATAGAGAGGATGGGTTGAACCCATGTGAGTCTATGGTTGTAGAACGGGCCCCTGTTATTGAAGCGGATCATAGCCATTCATTGGACAGATATCACATCAGAAAGTGTCTGTACCAAAAATCAGTCTAATAAATATATGTATTTTCCTTCTGTACGTACCTTCTAAGGGTTGTCGTACATGATCCAACGTTGTTGAATTCTGTCCACTAACAGCTAAAATTCACCCTAATCTCTGCCCAAGATGGGGCCCATTTAAATTGGGTGGAGATCCTCTAAATTAAGGACAAGTTGCAAATCATGGGCCATGGACCCAAGCTTTTGCCAATTCGTATCATTGCATTACGTGGTCATCTGGGAGCCATTTGAAAAGTAAATATTACTTAGGAGTTAGGACCACAAAACCACATATGGCTTACTCAGATCTGGACCCACGAACCCGATCCATATATAAAACCGAAGCCCAACTCCTATATTACCGAAAGACGAATCACAAATGACGGGGAAATTTTGGCTCCTAAAGGCTACAGTCCTACCTGATCAAGGGACATGCGTCCCACCAAATGCGTTGTTTCTCACCTTAGGAGGGTTAAGGTTAGGATTGAAGGACCACTCCTACCTTATTGAACGGCATGTATCCCCGACCAAATGCATTTGCCAACTTAGAATTTAAGGGAGATTAAGTATTTAGATATAAAAATCAAGAGGTGGACCATGGTAGGAGCGAACTAAGCCATGGCGATCCAAATCCATTACAGATAATGATAAACCATATATTGATTTTGACCCGCTCCATAGAGGAAAATGATCCATAACTATTAACCGAATGCGAGTGACTGTAATGATGACACTATTCATGGTTGTTATGGCATAATTGCATCCAAACGCCACCTAAAAACTCATTGCAATTTATGTTGTATTTGGTATCATTGTCACTTCTATTTATAATGTTTTATATTGGTCAATACAATTTGTACGAGAATATATATTTTTTTCTATCATAAATGTTTTGAGTTATCAATACAAGTATCATTGTTGTTTTTTTCAGGAAATTTCAAATTTTGTATTTCCACAGTAAATGTTAACACCCAATTCAATGGTGTTTGGTTTTCCTTTCCTAATGAGCATCGCTCTATTTGTATCAAATTAGTATTTGTATCTGAACTCGATAGCCCCTGGGCCTGCTTTTTTAATGAATTAATTTCGTAGTTATCAAAAAAATCCCAATGCCTATACTTTTTAGTGGAAGTGGTTATTTGGTGTGATATAACAATATAATTTCTCAAAAATTTGTATTAACCAACATAAAAAACACTGCAAGTAAAAATGACAATAATATCAAATATAACCTTAAACTTCTTTATAATGCAAGAAAGACATGATACTGGAAAGGATTCATGAATTTTGATGAAAACTCTTATGATTGATATAGGTTGAATGATTATAAGTTTTTCCGGTATTATGCCTTTTTGTCAACATAGTTGAAATAATTTATAAAACTTATTTGTCGTCTATGAATTACCTCTTGCTCTCGTGTGGATAGTGAGAAAACACCTTAGCAATTGGAGTAAACATCAAAAAGACGTTTTCCCATTAGAAAACTTTTACACAATCCTAAAACAATATTTATTTAATAAACGATTTAACTAAATAATATTTTAAATTCTATGTACGTAGTGTTGAATTGGTTTTTGATATAAAATCAAATACAGCTAAGGATATATTTAGTACTGTGACCATTTATTTAGGGGTTGTTTGGTATTGATGGAATTTATAAAATAAATGTTTTATATGATTTTGTCTTGAAAAATCAAATAAAATTTGCTTTAAACATTTTGTGCGATTTTTTTACACCTCATTGTCATTAGTCTAGTAAGTGCCACATAAGTCAAATAGTAAAAAATCGGTCTTGAAAATAAAAAACATTAAAATTAATGTTTTTTGATAAACGGTTCATACAATTTTCAAGAGAGCTGTTTATTAGATAAATGACTCAATCAAATAACTTTTTAAGCAATTTTTTTTTTTTTTTGTTAAACATGTCTATAATGCTGAATTGACACCATTTCTCCGAAAAGCTACATTGATATCAAACACCATCTTAATAAACATTTTGTATTTAATTTATCTTAAAAAACAAAAAAAAATTGGTTGATAAACGTTTATTTAGTTTTATTTGATAGTTAGCCGCCATTAAACACTACAGATAAGCTGAAAAGTAAATAAACAACGGGATGTAGAAGGAAGCATTAAACCCTCGGTTGGCTCTCACACAAACCAAAAAAATACCTATTTAACAAACATTATTACCAAATAGCCTTTCATTTTAGAATAAACATGCTTGTAAACAAGAATTGGCACCGTTTTTCAAATAAACGGATAACCAAACACCATCTAAATCTAAATCTGGCGTTTTTTTTTTTTTTGTTTTTGTTTCTGTAAACGCCGAATTGGCACTTAACCGGCACCGTTGCTCGTCGAAATCGAACATAATCAATATCTTCGCGAGACATATGCCATACTTCTAGGGTTAAGATATTGCAATGGGACAGGTTGATACATCAAGATTGGTCAGCAGCCAGACCAATGCTAACCAATCGATTGGTGGATCATTTCTTAGCTTGGACGCCTCTCACATCTTAATTAGACCTTACCGGTCACTCTTCCCCAACCATCAAATGACATCATGACCACAATAAAAAAGTCAAAAAGATCCGACGGTCAATCCAATTTAAACGTATTTACTTTCTATTGAATTGAAGAAAAGAGTCAATTGAACTGACTTGTCCAAATCAGTAACAATCAGACCCAGGCGTACGGACTTCGTGCCCTTTTTGGGCCCACGAGCTACGATATAGCGATAGCGCGGGAACAGCAAATTAGTTCTCATTTGCAAATTCAAAAAGATTTCGTCACACGTGCCTTGGCCGTGACTTCCCGTCAATGGTCAAACCCATGGAGCTCTGTATTACGATCCGATGGTCTAGAATCGTCAATGCGTTGGAGACTTCCCTAGATAAAATGATTTTGGACCAATCATGATCGTTCGATGAAATCAAACGGTTGCAATTGGAAAGAACCGGTACGTTGGGAAGATCGCTTACCCCAAACACGATAAATAAACAACAAATTGAAGCCTTTGAAACGGATTCCGGATTCCAGATTGATTTTCTCTCGTCGTCTCTGCGCTTCTTCTTGCTTTCTCCTCGTCTTCTTCTGCTCCCCTCGCTTCGCTTGTTAGCACTCTTAGCTAACCTGCGCTGTTGGCACTGTTTATCACCGCCTGAGATGTCTGAGAGCTTCTCCCGTACTTCTACCTTCGTTACAAGAATCTCGCGATACAGGAGAACCCATTAAATAAGAAAGACGGAAAAACAAGACCCAAATCCCAAAACCGCCATGGACGGTCAAAAGAGCCAGGCCAAGCTAACGAGGACCCAGTCGTCGCTCCGTTCATCGCCGACGATTAGATCATCCATCCACAGCCTTTCTTCCATTCACGAGGAAGAAGTCGCATCGGAGGAACAGAAGCCCCACTCTGGGACACGAGTTGCCTCTGGTTCGAACCGGTACCTTCCTGCTGTGGCCATGGTGTCCCTGAGCTCGTCTCTTTGCTTGTACTTCTTCTTCTATCTCAGAAGAGAAGAAATACCCACTTCCGAAAATTTGTTATTGGCGATGATTTTCATCGCCGTGGCACTCTATGTGGCCGGAAAGAAGAAGGGTTTTATCATCCAGACCTCATTGTTTATGAAACATTTATGGGATGAGAAGAACAAAAGATTAGGGCTTTCGAAGACTGGCGGAGATTCGGTTGAGTGGTTTATCGGCGGCGAAGGCTCGTCGTCGTTCAAGAAAGAGAGGAAAGATAAGAAAATTATTAGAGAAGGTGTGGAGTTCTACAGTAATGGCGATTTCTACGAGGGGGAATTTCACAAGGGGAGGTGTAATGGGAGTGGAGTGTACAATTATTTTGTGAATGGGAGATACGAAGGGGATTGGATTGATGGGAGGTATGATGGATACGGCATCGAGAGCTGGGCAAGGGGGAGCCGGTACCGGGGACAGTATCGGCAAGGACTGAGACATGGCTACGGGGTTTATCAGTTCTATACAGGGGATAGCTATGCCGGGGAGTGGTGTAATGGGCAGAGCCATGGCATCGGAGTGCAGAACTGCTTGGATGGTAGTTGTTACGTTGGAGAATTCAAGTGTGGCGTCAAGCATGGCCTTGGTTGCTATCATTTCAGGTAAGAAACTGTTTCTTTGAGTTTGATTCTTGGGTTTTAATGCTGAATTTTGTATTGATTGGTATTGATGTTGGAAGTCTTGTGGGAAGGTTCAAGAATGGGATGGATCCGTTTGCATCAGAGGCCCAGATGGCTGGAACTTTAGAAATCTTTTCTTGTTTTATTTTGGAGTTTGCATTCATTGAAGACCTTAACAGACATAATTGACTATTTCTCCTATCTTTGATCATTGAATTTGCAGTACATTAGATAGAGTTTGTAGCTATAAAATGAATTGAGATGTACTCGAGTGCTGATCATATTTTTTTTTCCTGGATTTCTATTACAACTCAAGAATTTGATTACTTAAGGTTTCTTGGCAAGGCTCTACTGGCTATTCTTCCATGGTCAGGTGGGTTCTTAGGATTAGTAGGTTTCTTGCAATATAATGCATTCGGGCCTCTGATTCGCACATAATTTCAATGTTGTTGAAACTTCTTTGAGGTTGCATTGATGGGTCGTGGCTGAATTTGGGTTATTTGAAGTCATAACTGAAAAAGTGCAAATGGAGTAAAAAGAGTGGTCCCTCCCTAAAAGGCTAAAACAGTATTACTCCTTACTCGTTGTTAATTGTTCTCTATTGTGTGTGTGTGTGTTTCAGCTTCACTACATGTTTGATGTGTCCTAGTCCTTTTTCTTCTTGGGGGGTTATCTTTTTGATATTACATGAAACTAAAATGCATTTTGCTCAATGAACCAAATATTCATTGTTAATTCTGATTGTGATGTAGAAATGGAGATCGTTATGCTGGAGAGTATTTTGGAGACAAGATCCATGGATTTGGTGTTTATCACTTTGCTAATGGCCACCGTTATGAGGGTTCATGGCATGAAGGCCGAAGGCAAGGCTTTGGTATGTATACTTTTCGGAATGGAGATGCAAGATGTGGAGAGTGGGATGCTGGTGTCCTCAAGAGCCCCCAGCCCCCACTAAGTGATGGGGTCCTGCGTGCAGTTCAGGTACATTGCTTTCATCTATTTCTCACTGTCATTACTCTTGCTCATGGCATTGCACTTCAAAATTCTTATATCATTCCCTTTTTATCAAACTTCAGGCAGCTAGAAAAGTGGCAGAGAATGCTATTAACCTCCCTCGGGTGGATGAACCAGTGAGCAAGGCAGTCATGGCCGCAAACAAGGCTGCCACTGCTGCTAGAGTTGCTGCTGTCAAAGCAGTTCAGAACAGGATGGATGGAAATTTTTGTGAAACGGAAGTGTAACAGAACAATCCTGACTTTACACTAAATTTGGTGAATTACTATCCTGCATTTGGAGTGTAAGCCACCTGGGTAGGCAAAAGCAAGCCCTGGTGAGAGAGAGAGAGAGAGAGAGAGATGACAAGAGTGGATGCTAGTTTAGTTGATCACAATGTAACATGTATATAAATCCATCTGTATATCAATTGAAGATGAATTTTCAGGGCCTTTTTCTTTTTCATGTGGCCCATCTTCTTTTAGCTTCTTCTGTATGCAACGATGAAATCAGATAAGATTGAAGGTTTGAGCACAGCTTACCTCTCTTAAGTCACATCAACACTATCATCTGTCAAAGTCTAGTCCAAATAATCCTACTAAGCTGTTCCAAGCTGTTTATGCCCAAATTAGAGAACTCTCCCCACACCCCTTGTAAAATTAAAAACAAAAGAGAGAAAAAAAACAGAGAAGAAAAAGACAAATTTATCATCTCAGCTCAGAATCACTATAGGCTATTGGTGCGCCGAAAAGGTATTTTTCTTAGCACAAAATTTCTTTCCGAAAAGAAGGTCGGTTTGTTTGGTGCAGTTGTCCTTGATCCAATTGGGGTGCTATTGCAGTGTGTATTTTTGAATCCACTCTCCTTTTCCCGTATTTGTTGGTTTGGTGCAACAGGGATTCATGTCAGCAAAAGATGATTTTATATTGGTCTGATGTAGATATGAAGTTTTGAACCAGACTTGTTTCGAAGGTGTCATGATGAATCCTTTTCCTTCTGGGAAAAGCGATTAATCTAAAAGATAACAGCACTCAAGAGTCCCTTCTTTCTGGGTCCAGAAAGTCTTTTTCCCCCATTTCTGCAAATGCATACTTGAGCATATAACTACTTTTCTTTTTCAATCCCAAGTCCCAACCACTTCAGTTGGGGCAATCAAGTGTTTGAAATCCAGTCAGGGAAAGAAAGTGACGTTTGATGACAATCTGATGAAACTTATGAATTGGAATATTTTCAAAGAAGTTTTGTTATTTGGGCACATTTCATTTTTGATGATACAGTGGCTACACGTACACCATACACCCATCAGTATTTTATTTAATCTTTTCACCGGGGAGCCCAAATCAACCCCCCTTGAGGCATGATGGTGGGATTGCTCAACCATCAAGCTTCACAGGGTCCAAAACACAAATGTATGCAGTACATACTGCCTTGCTGGTTTATATAAGAATTTTAATTACTGTCATATTTCTTCACTCTGTTTTTTCTTTGAATTTTAGTGTTTGATGTAGAAAAAACTCAAACCCAGATGATGAACCTTATCCGACACCAATCCTATACGATGTCTTGTCAGATGTTACTAAGCAAATGGGTATGAACATGATTAGCAGCAGACATGGTGGCCTTACTAGCACATTCCCACGAAATTATATCCAACTCGGCGGATTAAGTTACCAACTGAGACCTTCTCCCCTGCTTTCAAGAAACAACAAATCTCGTTCATGTACGATGAGCAGAGCTGTGATCCCAAGTAGTCTATTTGTCGATTTGTTGCTGGGTCTTGGTTCAGCTAATATTAGGAGGCCATGTGCCAACTTTCCTTTGATAGGATAATGGGTTGTCATTATATTGCTCTGGTCTGGTGCAAGCACATGGAGGTGGGTGGTGGGGATTTGGTGAAAAACGGTAGCTTTTCATGCATGGTTGGATCCAGAACTACTGTTTACTTTACTGTGTTGCATCCTCCTCAAATCTTTTGTTGCTTTTTTTTTTATGCTTGAAAATTAGGAACCTGTCTTGACTCCTTTCTCTTACTTTCGTTTTCACTAGTTACCAAATAGGACTGGGGTGAGAGGTGTTTCTTTTAATAACAAACAGTTCTAGTTCTCAAGGGTCAAGGCTAACAACATCCAAGCCCAACCACTCCCACTGCGGATCACCAATTCACCATAAAGGAAGAGGGTTTTGCCTTATTTTGACTAACCATTTTACCATTTGGTAGATGGGTTTGGTTTGAAAATCCCAATGGATGGGGAATTGGGGATGACTGAACTCTGAAGCGATCAGCCATGACTGAGCATTGTATCCAACAAGCATATGATTTCATTTAAAGCCCTGAATATATTATTGTTCTTATAAAATAAATAAAAGGTGAGATGTATGTATTTATTATTTTGGGGTTTCAATTATGTCTTGTAGCATGTCCCTACACCTTCTATATTATTAAAAAAATGTATGTTTGGGCTATTTTTTTCTCATTTGGTCACCTGGACTGGGCTCAAGGTTCCGACCATCCTTGGGTGGGTCTTCAATTGAAAATTATTTTGCTGTCTAATATTAATGAATCTTTCATTTGGTCATCAATACAGTTGGAGGCATGGAGCTTATCTTTATAAACTGTTTGTTTACTGTTGGGGTGCAGTTTCTTGTCAGAAAGATGCCCTTTTCTTTTTCTTTTAGGCAGTGAAAATTACTTGAGCCTACATATTTAGGGATTCTTAAAAAATAGAAATAAATAAAAAACAAAAAAAACAACCTAAAAATTTGGAAAGCATTTTTGAGCTTTTGATAATGGAAAATAAAATTGAGTAAAAAAAAAATGTTTTGAGCATTTGGTAAGGATTGCTTTCATAGTGCCATGACACTTTAAAGCTCAGAAGTAGGAAGGCTAAAACGTTGGGATTTTGTGCTTTTAGGGCTCAGTTTGGAAAGAGTATAAATACAAATATATACAAAAATAATACAAAATACAATGTTTTATACTCTAAATATTTGCATTTGTATTCCTTCCAAACTGAGCCTAAAAGCACAGATCCCCAAATTTATCCAAATGCAACCTTATTTTTTTATCTCAATGATTTTATCCGGTTGCTGCAGCAAAAAAATCAAAAGATGCTATACAGTTGTTTCCTACATTGGTGGAATCACCAACCCCCTTATCCTCTTTTTTGTAAGCTTTATTTGGAGACCTCTTTTTATTTTGGGGGAAATACTCATTTTTATTGTTTTCTGAGTTTATTTTCCCTTAATTTGGTTTAGTTGTGATTTCCATATTTTATTTATTTTATTCTTGCTGAGGAGGATTAAGGTCCATTTTCATTTTCATGCTTGAATTTTGTTTTACTTTTCAATAATGTTTGAGTAAAGCAAAATGACAGCCATATATAAATAGATTTCCTGAAAGCAAAAATCATGTAAACACCCTGAGAGTATGCAATACAACCATACATTGGTAACATCTTCCCATGAATTTTAAAATACAGTGGGGGGAGATATTCCTACTGTGCAACTGGATGCCATATTCTAAGTGCTTGCACAATTTTTTACTTTTATGAGATTTGGGCTGTAGAAATTGTCAATTTGTGGATTTATCCTTTCATTATAGGCATTTTCTCTTCCACACCATTACAAAATAAGCAAATCTATGATACAAAGACATGTTTGATGTTTCATGGTACAAAATGAAAACCACCATTTCATGTCTCATATGTGTAATTAGTAATTACTTATTCTGATAGTTATCAGTTATCAGATAATTTAGTATGGGATTGTTTGATGACTTGGTGCTGATACAATTTTCTTATTAACAAAACCTAATAGGTTTAAAATAATCATTTTATTCAGAGAAATAAATTATCATAGATAATTTTTTATACATATATTTAAATTCATATACTAGTTATTACCAAATTGAAAAATAAATATTACATTTAATAAATAATTTTTGCAGCAATGAATCTATCAAATTTATGTATTTAAAAATTTATTAGCTTTAATAAATACACTATTGCTTGAACTTTCTTAAATATAATAAGCAGATCTTATGAATATACATTTAAATATGTTAACTTCATACTTATAAACATATATATTAAGCTCATAATTAACTATTTAAATGGGCACAATCCAGATGAGCCCAAATTCCTTTTACTTAATTATACATTTGAACTTTTTGTATGTTATGTCCCACATGGAATAATTTACTGAAACTTGTACGATGAGTTGGTACTGATATAATTCTCTTATTAACAAATTAAAATATGTATATATACACACACTAACATTTTTGAATTGCAGTTGGAATAATATAATATATTTATTCAGATAAGTGAGTAATATTGAGTTACATTTTAATAAATTAAATTCTTATCTTAATTAATACCTAATAATAAAAGCAACCTAATTATACTTTCTATAAACAGTAATATTGTTATAAAGTAATTCTCTAAAATCTGGCGTTCTACTAAAGTAAGCCTGCCTTTGGAGCATTGACTCTATGAAGATTAGCATATAATTATGATCATATATTTAAAAATTATTAGTTTTATTTTATTATTGCATGAAATATTTAAATAAATTAATATATTACCTTTATGCTGACAAATACAAGTTGACACAATTCAGACGCTGATATCTCAACTTATTATTTGTACAAATACTTAACCAAAATTCCCTCTGCTTTATAAATATATAGCATAGTTCACCTTATTGTATATTATGTACTATATATTTTCTATATTTTATAAATATCAAATATTTGTACTTTTCTTTGTTTCTTAAATGTTTGTATATTAATAAATAATAAGTAAGGATATGGGATATGGGCTAGGCATGACGCTTGAACAAATAAAGTGTGCTAAAAAACTTTGCCTTCAGCAGAAACGATTTCAACTTTTCAAGTGTTTCTCCAATTCTGGTTTTAAATTTCGATGAAATTTCAGGAAAATTTGAGAAACTTTGGTTTTGACTGAAACGAAAACCCTTAAAATTTTGAGTGAAATATATAATTCAGATGAAGCTTAAAAATGTTTTTTCTGGGATTCCATCAAAGTTTGGATTTTTGAATAGATCCCTATAAAAATAAATAATTTAAACACAGAAACTATTAATAAGTAAAAAAAAATAACAATAATATTTTTCCCTAAATTTCAATTTTTTTTTTTTTTGAATTTTCATGATAGATCTTGGGTTCGCAATGGACCATTTCTAAAACATAAAATCTTGTCCCCATGTCAGTTATTGTTTCTATGAAGCAATTCAAGGCATAATTCCTCATATAACACTAATAAAAGAATCAATCTTTTCATATAGACAATTAAGAATGGTTTTACTTCCTTTATTTTAGTACATCAGCGTGCATCTTGCTAGGGTAGACAATAGTTAATAAACAAAATGGAGTAGACGTACTTCCCTTATATCTGTTCCCATGTTACCTCAACCTCATGTAACATGTCCTCCCTTGTCCTTCCGACGTTTTAATCTTTAATTAATTAATTAATTTTAGAAAAGTAATTAAAAAACCCTAATTAAGCTATTAATT